AGAACATTATCTTACCGTCTCAACTTATTAACATGCGAACGTAAATATGACTCTTTTTCTTTAATAGCTAAGTATTCTTGCCATGCTTCTTTATGTGGTGCTTGATTTTCATAGAAGCGTAGATACAAACTACGCCATAATAACTAAAAAAAATCAAATAATAATGTTATATCACTTATTATAAATGTAATAAAATACATACAATACTTTGTGGAGCAACACTTGGCCATATTACATTTGAATGTGGCTCATAAAATCTAATTAAAAAATAGTTATCATATTTTTTCAAACATGACAATTTTAAAAAGACTTACGGATTTAAAAATATTCGAAGTATTTCTGGACGATTAATGTAAGACCTTAAACATACAAAATATTCATTTATCCAGCAAAAAAGATCTAATTCTTTTCCTTTTTTATCTCTAATAGAAACGCTTATACAATATCGTGTGAATTCTACTGTCATCAAGTATCCGACATACTTTTATACAAATAAACAAGAATCTTTTCATAGATTCTCTGTTACTAAGTCAACTATAACCTGTGTCGAATAATAATATATATGTTCAAGAAACCAGTAAAATCTCGACTATTATGAGAAAGTAGTGTTTTCAATAAGAAAAGGGATTCGTTCCATACCAGAGTGAAACTGTTCGATTAACACCATCGTATTTCATTTTTTCTTTTTCATTATTAAATATAAATGTCCCTTTAATAAATAAAAACAAAATTTATTTTTATTTTTCTTGACTAACATCATACACATACCAAATTTAGATGAATAAGCATGTTCAAATAATTCAATTAAAAATTGTTCATTGAATTCAAACGAACAAGCAAACTGTTGTAAGAGCTAAAAGAAAACAAAGAAGCAAAGATGTAACAAAACGAATGAATTCAATCCATAATTACCTGCCAAGTACAATCAAGAAAGAGTGTAAATAATGGTGATTCATGCTGATGTTGAGAACGCCCAAATGCTGAACGTGTACAACGTAAACGAAATGGATGACCAGCTTGAATCCACTCTCGTTCAATTAATGCTTCATAACTGAATATATTACAAATCTCATTAACAAATTTTAATATAAAAACTGTTTTAAAAGCTCACCCAGTAACCGTTCGACAATCTGGATCAAGTAAGATTTGTGCCAGACTTGTCACTAATAATGTAGTATCCCAACCATCAGTTCCATGAACAACAACACATGTTTCTAAATAGCAATAACGAAAAAGAGAAATCGATTCTAGAAAAACTTTGTCAAAAAACTCTTTACCTTCACAATCAATTGTTTGAGCGACGATACATGCTGTTGTTAACGCTTCTTTAACGTGTAATAGCCAATTGCTATTGTCTAATTTTGATAACCAATCATTTTTATTGACATTGTCGATGCAAGCTAAAATAGTTTGAAATAAAATTATATTTATAACATCGATGTATTTTTTTCTAACATTCTTTTGTCAACTTCGTGTACATTAAACTTACCTTCCATTAATTTCATAAATGATTCTTGTAAAACAATATGTTTGTCTAGATGTCGATGTAAACGTTTCCATAAGGCATAATTGTGTTCTGGTTCGCATCCACCACCTGAAATGAATATAATATAATATGAATCAGTCTAGCAGCAACGTCTCTTACTATTACCTCTAGATTGAGCATTTTTTACAATGGTTGGATGTCTTGTATCTAAGATCCACCCTTTCTTATGACGTTGTGATAACATGGCATTTAACAAAGCTTCATCTTCTTTACAACGACGAACATTAGAACCGACTAATGGTTGAGAACTACGTATTAAACAAGCCTAAATAAAACTTATTTTGTTATTAGTAGTCGAGTTTTTAGCCCGTGTATGTTTATTACCTTTGATGGTTTATGACAATATGTTAATAGTGGAAATCGCCCATGTTGTCTAAAACTAGCAGAACGTTGTAAATATTCATCACTGATGGATTTTGGCACAACAAGTCGCTCGGGATACGTTTCACTGATCTAAATACAAACAAAAAAACTAAATTTAAGACTGATTATTTCAAATAATATAAGTGCAGAGTTACATACAGCAAAATTTTTGTTCACATCACTGATTCTCCAATCGTCACTAGTTGCTTGTAATCGACTAAATTCCGATTCAACCGAGAATGCTGACCATCCATCTTGAATTACTTCAAAATCCCGCGGAAAACAAAACGGATATAAAAAGCTGACATCGCAGGTAAAACCATCTAAATAGAAAAAGAGCAAAATTTTGTTGCGATATATAGTTCACAAGTGAAATACATTTGAAAGGACTGCTAGGATGGGAGAAGCGTCAATTCAAAACATATGCTATAGTGTATAAAATGTATATCATCTAATTAAAGACAATATTGAATATTAAGAAGCAACCAAAGTTGAAATCAAAGCGTTGTTAAATGAAATGCAGCTGGAAGCAAACTAGGTAAGTGGTCTACCTTTATTTTGTGTTTTTTAGCTACTATGGACACGCAGATGAAGTTTAAGTAGAGAAATGTTTCACTTCTAATTTAAAACTCATATTTTCCCTCCTGAGTTTAACTGGAACAGTGCATCATTCTGGTGATCCTACAGTGCCATTCTTTACTTAAAGATCAAGAAATATCTTGAATTTCTTTCTCAAATATCATCATAACTCATTTAACTATTTAAATGAATTAAAACTGACGAATTAAAAAACGACCAGAAAAAGACGTGATGTATTTATGTATTATAATCTATCTTATATGAACTATGCGATATCTATATCCAAAAGAGATTATATACGGATGTGAATATTAGAAAAGTAGAAATACTATGGTTATACGGTGCGGAATTAATAAAATTCATATTTTAATTTGAAAAAATCACTTTACGACGAGTCTCTTTAGTCTCTCAGTTAAAATAAGTTCCGAATTGACAATGACGATGGTTCTTAAGTTATGTGAAGGTAACATAGTTTACAATAATACACAGAGAAGACAGCATAGTTGATATATTCAATCGGCAAGAGAGAAGACACTGTACTACTGACCAGTGTCTAGAGTAGACAACAGCAAGTGTCTCAGATACAAAGTTCAAATAGTTTACTAACTCTAAAGTTTGATTCTCCAAGACTGTTTAGTGGAAATATTTTGATAATTACCTAAGTTAACGATTAATAGATCGAGTGATTCAGCCAATTTACTCGCCTCATCATACTGTGGAATATCAAAATAAATCGATTGTAACGTTTTTAAACGAACAATAATTGTATATGTAACAGAACTTGTCGTCGTTGTAGTTGGCGATGATGGGGAACTGTTATTCAAACTATTTGAATTACGAAGAACATCGTTTCGCGTTTGAGGTGGAAATCGTGTATGAACAGCATCAATATTCGAATAAAATAGCTAAAATGAAAAGAATAATGATCACTTCTCTAAAATATACTTTGTACAGGATTTTCGATTGTTCTCAGCGATGAGAGGGGCAAAAAAAAGATGTTTTCTAAATTTTTGGCAGAAAATTGCTTGTGGAAAAATGTCAAAGATTTTGGCGGAAAGTGCAAAAATGTTTTTAGGGAGAAACCAGCCCCTGATCGGGAAGCCTGACTCTGTAAAAACTAAATCACTAATCTTTTTTCAAATAATGTTGTACACTTACCCATAATTCTTTGTACTCGGGTTCATTTTTCTGCTGTTGTTGTGCTGATGCGATTGATGTTTTGGCTGTTTTAAATGTAATTATAATGTTATGCAAAGTTATATTCACTATTGATTCTGGATAAACATGTTGATTATCACGGTAAACTAAATTTCGTACACATGGAATTTTAATTGAATCGGTATAAACCATTTTAAAATGAATCTAGAGATGAGCATATATTTGATGATTTTCACATGTGAAGTTTCTTAATATCATTTGCTAGAAACAAACATAGAGATGAGCTAGGACTCCATTGGAACAAGAGATCTTCATCCAGCAGATCATTGACATGAGCTTTCTCTCTACTGTATAAATAAGTTCTGCAAACAAGCATATGTGCAGACATCTTTATATAAAAATATAACAATATTTACAAAAAACTGAGAAGATATAAACGGCTAATTTTGCGTTAATTTCTGACAGATTTCCATAATAGAATATGTAATGGTATTATCAAAAATGTTAAAGTTAATAATATTTTTAAATATTTCCATCAAGTTAAGCTACTTACTTCAGCACTTATGAGTATCAAAGTTTTTTTGTTATAAATTTCAGTGGTATTGTATAAGACTGGATAAAAGTCACTTTATATTTTAATGTGGTAAGATTGAATATTTAATTAACCATATTGTGGAAATACGAATAATATTAACAAAAACCGTATGTGACACATATACTGAACACAACAACTTAAGCATACTATCAACGTACATTTAGTGCGTATACCTCAATAAAGCCCAAATTGATAAATTCTCATACATAGAGAATCCTCAACGATAAATCAAGCCATAAAACGCATGTACATAACATTATGTAATAATAAACTCCCTTCATACAACACGCCAAATTTGTTCAGTAAGCGATAATCATGAGCACATGCCTAGAATAATAGTATAAAATTTGTATTATAAAAAGATTTAAAGACTAAAGTGGATCTATACCCTTTATGTTGTAATATTATCTTGTATACCAAAAGATTTCGCAGAACATAGTGTACTACGTTACTGTTGCTGTGTGAAATAAGTTTACATTAAGAAATATGAAATATAACACAATTTATCTTAAAACAATGGCACCCAACTCCTTAAATTAGGTACATAAAATGTATACTACAAGCTATGCAGTAGTTTCCAGAAATTTCTTATAGATATCAGAAATCTCTCTCGAACTACGGAATTTGAAACTTGTACATGTTTTCTCGTGATATGATGCTCTCATAAGACTAAAAACTGTAAATAGTTTGATAAACTAACTTCTACTGAAAAAGAAAAATTACAATTAAATCTACAAAAACAACGGCAAGAAAAACATTTCAAGACGATTGTTGTTCGATTGTTTGCGCTATTGGTAACGCCGTAGTAATTAGTTCTTGAACAGAATTAATACTTGAAATATCTCTCGAAGATGCTGTTGCTTGTTTTGACTGACGTGATTTGCCTCTCTTCGAACGAGATGTGTCTATTGTGGAAGATGTGGCCGTATGTTTTTTATTGTCATATTTCATTTGCAATAACGATTCTTTTATTATCGTTGCTTTAGACCATACGTCGGCAAATGACACTTTATGAAGATAGGCAATAGCTTCTGAAAGAATAAAATAAATATTACCAGAAAAGGAAGATATGAAAGTACTATACCTATAATAATTTCAAATTCGCCCTGTTTTAATGAATGACCAGATGCATCAGGACCGTATACATGTCGAACACAATTACGACCAGTTCCCGTAAATGAATTTGTTACTTGAGCATCTTTCAAATCAATATCATTAATTATCTAAATGAAAATAAATGTTACTTGAATTTAGTGTATAAAATGTTCACACTTTTAAATACTTACCAATATTACATTTGGATCATTATCATCTATTTTATTTCCAGATGTAAGTTTTGATGTCTAAATGTTGAAATGACATATAAACAACAATTTTCGTTGATTTTTATTCACTTACAAGTCGAAGAAAATTGTTGACACTTGTTACAGCATTATTCATTTGTCCTGGTAAATGTTGTGTATACCGTAAATTTCTTTCTAATTTTTCATTTTGTAAACCAATTAAACTGTATAGTTCTTTCACAGCATCTTGAAACGGCCTAACACTTGTTGCAACAGCTTAAGAATAAAAAAGAAATGTAACAAATGTGAGTTAAGAATGAAGAAAAAAAAAGTGCCCAGTACCTATTTTAAATGCATCACTCGTAGTAAGTGGTGTTGTTGGATCTAAATGGGACACATCTTCAACATTGTGACTATTAACATTTGGTAAACTGCCATTTACTAAATGAAAAAATTGATTAACTTCAAAATATTTACCTATAGAAAGATATCAAAAACACATCCTCAATAATTTAAAACTCAGTGAGAATTCTTACTAAAATTGAGGAAAACCTACCCTACAAAAAGATAATTTATCGGCACTGGTTGTGCACCGATGCCGAATAAGTTCTTTTCTGGGCACCGATGCGCACCGGTGCCAGAAAGAATGTAAAAATCTCGCACCGGTGTACACCAGTGCCGAAGTTTTGTTTTCAATCATCATTTTGTTTTGTCAATTTTTGTCTGTATTAACATCATAGTCTCCTTCTAATATTTCGAATGTCTTTCTAACTTCATCTTTTCCTTCTCATAAGAGAAGTGCCGAGGCAATGCCGCATAGTTTTGGCATGTCGATGTGGTGCTGATCAGTGCCGCATTCTAATACAAAATTCAGCATAAATAACCATAATAAAAAACTAATTGGTTAAATAAATTAAACTGCGGCACTGATTTTTGCCAGTGCGACACTCTTTCGGCAGAAATATATCGGCACTGGTTCGGCACTTGCTGGGCACGGGTGCGCACCGGTGTCAGTGACCGATGGCATGCCATGCGCACTGGAACTCTTTTTATAGGATAATGCTTCAGAACAATTGGTTTCAGTAAACTATTTTCTTTAAACATAGGACTGATAGAAAAGATTCTCTTGTATTATTTTTGGTCACAGTACAATAGAAAGATATTCACATATCGATTTTTGCAACAAATATTCATACTTATTTGATCATGTCCAACTGGTTCAAATATAATCGAAGATTTAAACTTTTTATTCTGTTCAATTGTATCGGCGTATGGTTCTTGTATATAGTCAATTTGTGACTGAAGCGTTTCATTTAAATCTATCAAATAACAAAGTAGAAAAAAAAATCATAAGTAAAAATTCTACACTTTCTATACCATTCTGAATTGCATTTTGAATTGCCGAAGTGGAAGATGGATTATTTTGTACAGCTACGAATGGTTGTCGATTGACTGGATCATTAATGATTCCTCCAGTATTGATTTCATAACAACAATTTGGACAACGAATTTTATCTTGAACTAGTTCAAATAGTTTTTGTGATGTTAGAGCTAAATGATGATCATGTGGCAAAGCGTATGAAATTAATTGAAGTAATTTTGTTATTTGATCATTATCTAATTTAAGATCTGTACAAAACTGATGAATTTGTTTATGATAAGATTTAATAGCGATACTAGCGCCGTTGTATAACGGTTTATTTTCGATAGTTTCTAGAATGAGTAAACCAAGAAAATTTTTCATGTTCCTTGTTACAGCCAGTTATTGTCGCATTTCACTTACGATTATCACGTTCATAATCATTTTGTTGTGTTGATGTTGCCGGCCATGTTGTATGGTTATTTTTTGAATTATTTCCAGTGCAAATCGTTGAAGCCGCTGCACTTTTGGCACTTATCGAACTGCTCTGAGGCTAAAAACTTAAGAAGTATTAGAATAATAGAATAAAAAGAAGACAGATCATACCACACACTCTAGACTTGCATACTGAGTTGTTGGAGGAGTGGAATAATTTGGAATAACAATATTTCGTCGTTGTTGATAGACATGGGTGGCAGGAATTGTATATCTAACCTCTTCTAACGACACCAAGTGAGAATTGGTAAGCGTCTCTGTATAATAAAGAAAAAGTCACTTTACTAACCATGTTTTTTTCCTTCGTCTATATAAATCTCTTGTGCTATTCGTTGATATAAAAACTGTTGATCTGGACTACAGCTCATATTTAATCTGATAAAAGGTAAATTCAATAGCATGATATTAGTGAGAAAAAAGTTCACTTATGCCTACAAATCATAAAATTCAGGCCTGCATAAAACCGTAACAAAACTTGATTTTTCAATACATTTTGATTGTTCATCACTAAAGACTCAACTGACATGACAGGAGCCTGGTGTTTCTTTCTAACACGAATTTCAAAGTGTAGAAATTCTGAAAATATTATATAAGAAAAAGTTGCCCAGAAGGTTTAACGTGCTATTGTTTGTCAAACTGGCATGCGTATAGTATCCTTCAAATCTGCTGTTTGCACTTAGTATTAAAAACGATAAACCAGACTACAACACTATATAATGGTGATGATAAATCATGGAAGATTCACACTAACGTGTTTTCTGTAGCAAAATTTATCACGTTGCTTTTGTTCATTTTTGCATTAAAAAAAGAACCTTTGACTCGAGTAAAAGTTTTAGAATGCATCAATTATAGCTATAATGCGAAGTATAAAATATAAAAATGTCTGTCTCTTCCACATGATGAAGCTCCAAATATCTCAGACCTTTTTTTAAAGTTTTATTCGAGTTCAAAACGCTCTTTGTTTCTCTTTGTTCTTCGTTGAATATATATTAATGAGTACTAAACCAATCCCTTTGAATGACTCATCTTGTTTAATTTTTCAAGTAAATCAAGGGGCGTATCTTACTGGGTGGCTACCACCCCCCTGCTTTCAGAAAAGTTTCTGTTTTGTGTCTTTCGCCCCTCAAAAAACCATCTGTTTTGGAAGAACGAAAAACATGTTTGGCAGGACATCCCCCCTGTTGTGAGATGCTAGATACGCCCATGAGTAAATCAAGAAAATTATTAACCAGAAAGTCTCAGAACCTTTATACTTTAAACAATTCAACTTTTTTCTCGAGCTTACCATCAAAATTTATCATTTGTGAAACAGTGCACTGAATTTTATAAGAAAAACGTTCCTTTGGCTGTAAGGAAAGAGTCTACAAAAACGTCTATCTTGTCTGTTTGTCAACTGTCAGTTATATTAGTGTCCGCAAAATGTGGAAAATAAGGATGAGGTATGTACCGCTAAGCCAATCAAAAGAAAGAATAAAAAAGAGAATTACTGCTCCAGCTACGCAGAAGAGGGATCGTACAAAATCAGATTTTGTTAGTTTCCCCGGGTTCACTCATAAAAGTTAAAACCAGTAGAGGGAGCCACTTTACGCTGCATGGAAAATTCTAGACAAATCACAGCAGAATAATTTTTCTAGCGCTTTCTAGTGGTTCCACTTAAGAAATCCTCGAAAAGCGGACAAATTGCGGACAGCGGACACTTTTGGGAAAAAAACTACAGAAAGCGGAATTTGTTCGCAAAATGCGGACCATCTGGCAACTCTGAACACAACATCTAACACCTATCGATAATGAACAACGACTAAACACAAGGATAATCACACGAAAATTTCACTGGCGGCAAGAAAATTCTATCTGCAAAATGAAGTTACCAAATCTCCATCAACACTATCCCGAAATGTTACGGTAAAACGTAACATGGTCACACTCTCAGCATGACATTGTTACACATGTAGTATGACCATAGCCGCCACCTTCCGGTTTTCTGAGATTTTTTCGGAATTTGTCTGGTGTCCCTGTCCAGATTTTGAGAATTTTCTGCTTTTGGTGGTTTTTGCCTGATAAACGAAATTGTATGTCGACAGAACTCATTGCAACTAAATTGAAAATTTGTTTAAACTTATCGTTATCATGCACTCAAATTTATAATTATTTTTTATCAAAACCAGAACTGTTGAAACTCATTCATTCGGATCAAAAATATACATTCCAAAAACAGTGTGTCGGCTAAAATCGAAATCTATATTTATGTTTATTTTCTTGTATTTTATCGAATAAAGTCATATAGAGGCAGAGGGACACCTTTTTTGGCACTCTGTGCAGTAGAAAAATGTTAAAAAATGTTAAAGATAATATAAATTAAACAGTATATGTAGTGTGTGTGTGCTCATCAGAGTTGCCAGATGGTCCGAGTCCAAATTCCGCTTTCTGTAGTTTTTTTCGCAAAAGTGTCCGCTGTCCGCAATTAGTCCAGTTTTCGAGGTTTTGTTGTTTTTGTCCTTTTTGCGGCAATGGAGATTTTTACATTTTCTCATAAAAAATTTGCTGAAAAAATTCGGCTGAATGACTTGTCGAAACAATGCTTTTGCAACTTTTATAAAACGGATGCTCACTGTTTTAGGAACTAAATCAGAAATTTGCCCCGGAAGTGAGCGGTAATAGTGTAGTTCCCCAGGTATTCTAGAGGTCCAAAGAGACTTGGAAATACTTTTGACTACACAGAAAGATAGAGAAAACACTTTTCTACAAAATGAAACGTCTTCCAAGTTTGTACAATGTTCCGTTTAGTAGCTGCGAGGATTTTGATTATTTATGCGATGTTTTTGCAGCCATTTTGGGATTTGACTGCTCACCCATTTTTCTAAATGAATTTTGACTTATTTTAAATGTGTTCTTCTGGCTGATATGAATCAAATTTCTAGTTGAGCCTCACCGTGAAGCATGAAGGACAAAAAGTTGAAATAAAAGGCGGACAGGTAAACTAGTTAATAAAGCGAGACTGCGAAAATCAAGGTGTGACATTGTAGGTTAACAGCATAAAAGATAGGAAAGGTAGATCCAACAACAAAAAAATAGAGCTATGATCATTCGTATCACAAGATAAACATTTTGTCTATGAATGAAATGAAGACAAAAAGGTAAGATCCCCGTATCAATGATTTTCGAAACGCCAAAAGAGAATATCTAATTTTGAGATGTCCATTAAGATCACCTTGGGCATGACTTTTACACGAGTTTTTGTATACTTTTGATGGTAATGCACGATTCACATATTTTTAGACATTCACAAAGTAGACAGAGATGTGCAGATCGGCCTTGCCCTGAAGGTCACAGTAGGACTAGGCCTCAAAGTTCGTAGGGCAGGACAGACCATATGCCTTTTTCTAAACGATTAATAAAGCACAACATTTTTATACATGTGTTTCTGGTAGAATTGAATAAACTACATGCCATACTAAAAACTAAACGCGATTCAAGAAATTTGATAGGACAACACAGGGCAAAGGCACCGAAGCCATAGAGCAGGACAGGTCCAGATCATGAGAATTTTTATAGTGCATTGCTCAGGGCAGAAAAATCAGTTGCCCTCCACATCTCTAAACTGCGTCTTGCACCCTATTGGTTTTGAATACGTTAAATGTAATTTAATATAATTATCTAGAATAGTTATATATTGTCGTTATATTCATTCAATGCAGTTCCAAAGCTCGAAGATGCGATGATCGCCAGAACGAATTGTACCACGAACCATACAGGCATAAACTGGAATAAGCAATAAAACCAAATGAATAAAATTAATCGATCGTAAATAGTTCTTAAATATTAAATTGTGAAGAAAATGGATGCGTGTGTCGAATACCACGTAATAAACGACGAAAATTAATTCTATTAAACGACCATGACAGATCATTCGATAACAACTCTTAATCCACTTAAATATGAATCAGTAGTTTTAAAGATAAACGTAATAACTAACATGAAACATAAAGATAAAAATTGTTCGATAAAAAACTTGATTTTTGAAAATGAATCAAAACCTAATGTAAGAATTTATAATCGGTGAATACGAGCGAGAAGCTGATTTGGATGTTATGGTAATCTATCTGTTGTTTGAAATTAATTAAATTCGTTAATGATAAGATGTTGTTGTCGTTATGGTATTCTATTACTAAATAGATATTAATCTTGATCTTAATATGTGTGATTATCTTTTTGTCTTCTTTTCTTTTAATTGTGCAGTTGTACCTAAAGATATTTCAAAACAATGGTTAGCAAACTAGTTGGATTCATATTCTCGTCGTATACAAATTAAGAAGATAATGAAAACTCAAATTGAAGATTCAATCTCTTAACAATATTTTAGATTGTAATTCACACGATTACTGATATATTAATTACATTTGAAATAAACGTAATAAACAAAGGCATCTTATAAACGCGAATCAGACGGAAAGAATTCCATTAGAATGAGCGAATAATATGATGAAACAAATTCAGAATCTTGAAGTGAAGCATCTACTGCAAAACAAATAATATTATAATAATTCTCAAAATTTGATCATAATAGACAACTAGTTTTAATACAACAAAACACCCTCGAGTAAATATGATATATTTTGAAAAATAGGACAAACATGTCATAGACTATGCTACAAAACACGGCTGATAAAATTCTACCATCTAGAATGATCGGAAGAAGCGATATCGGAAAAATCTAACAACGATATCCAGAACTTTGATACGTTGATTCCATAATAACAATAACAATTTCTTGAATTTTGAGCGCTGAAACTGAAATTGTGAAATTATTTATTTACAAAAAAATTGAACCCTACATGTTTTAATATTCATGTTGACATTTTGCGACTTTACATGGAAATAAGATAAATTCAATAATTGTATATACATATTAATGCATGTAAAATCAACATTAAAGCATGTAAAATAACTTCAATGAAACGAGATTAAAGTTTTCCTATTGTACATAGTTTCTAACAAAGCTATGTACAATAGGACTGGCAAGCGTCTGAAAAAGTGCATTATTAGATATAACTCTCTCTAGTAGGTGAATTCGTCATCAGATAATGAATCAATAGAGACAACTTGCGAATAGAACTAGTTATAGTGACGAGTTTTTGTTTTCGACCAATGAGATCGGTGTCAGTTTCAACTATGAAACATCATGCTATGTTGTTGACGAATATATCTTCTTAAAAATATTTTCTTAATTGAACAACAATTTCACAAAATTTTTGTTTACAAAACAAGGGAAAATTAATCTGAACAGATAAGCGATCCACTTTTGAAATTTTTTCTCATCTGTTTTTCTCTCATCAATCTTCTATATTTTATTTTATTTTTATCTTCTATTTTTATTTGTTTTTCTCTTCACATGTCGATAAGACAGTGTTTTTATTAAAGAAAGTTTAAGTGTTGAAAAAGATCAGTCGAATGGATAGATACTTCTTCCTTATATTTCTTTTCTGATATGAAAACATGAGTGCAACTTTGAAAAGACATAGTAACTTTCTTCTAGATATCTTTTTCACGCTTTTACCAGACAAATATTGTTTTAATAGACAAAGTCTCTGAGAATTAAAGCCACAATTTACTATAATTCTAATTAATCTGCTATCTTTTGATGATAGTTAATTAATGTTATTACAATCAATAGATGGTATAGATGATTCTGTATAAAGTCAATCTATGACTCTATTTTATAAAACATTTTTCTCTATCGCATTGAAAACATTTTCTTTTTCGGATAGAAAAGTCTAAAATCATGTCAGTTCGTGAAAAGAGATACTATTTTATCCCTTTAACACATTCTATGTGCACGAGATACTAATGTATGACGTGTCAACTATCCTAGTCATACTTAACTCACAGAATCAACTTAAAAAATCCTTCAAAAAAACCATCAAATAATTGTATTTTGTGTAGTGTTAGTTGGCGAGGGCAGTTCGAAAATATATATCTAGTTGGTATCTCTGATTTTGCGAGAAAAGTATCTATTCACAACTTACGAGATAGCAACTACATTTCAAAATATAAATGAAATATCCATAGAAAAAAATTAATAATATACACTTAACTCTGCTCGGAAATACTCCTCGATACTAAAGAACAATTGCGATTAACTACATATCTATGCTCTAGAGATTCTTACTATAATGACAGCTATTTTTTACGAATGGTTAACGTATAAAGATATAATCAGTAATAATCAATATGAATTTTTTCTCGTTTATTTCAATATTTTGATTAACAAGTTGTATATACGACTATTTTAAACAACTAATTT